ACTCAGGAGAAAAAATCTGCCTTTAAATTTGAAAGAAATTATGATTTGGCATTTATCGTGATAATTATCGATATCGACTGATATGAACATTTTTATTGTGATAATGTTTTTGGCCATATTGCCCAGCCCTAAACATAAGGTGATATCACCTCCTTTAAGTGAAGAATTCTCCCTCTGCAAGAGACCTATAGGGTGACTGGTGCTGATCGAATCCCAGTGTGTGCAAAGCTGCACTTGTCACATTAACATGCATGTACAGTACCTTGATTTCTCGTGATTTACTCGCAGTGCAGTGTGGATTACTTTAACACAGTGTATTTTAACAGGTGTTTCAGCATTCATCACTAATTACAAAACGGTTTTGTTTCAAACATTGTTACATCTTCGCTTGAAGTTAATGTAGTATTTGAGAAATTACTGACTCACAGCAATCCATGCAGTGTTTTAAAACAGTGTTTCCTAGAGCCATTCTGGTGCTTCATCTACTTATTCATTTGGATCCAACTCAAAAATGATTCATTTAAAGTCCACAGTTGTATGAGGCACATAAAAGATGTCCACATTTTAAAATACAGGAAGATGCGTTTTTATTGTGCAGTATTTTACAATGCAGTGAACACCATCACAGAATCAATATTCAATAAGTACTACCACACTTCAGTTAGTTGTTCAGAAGTAATCTATCCACCGTAATTATTCCGTCTGTCCTATTCATACACATATCTGACATTTCTGATTTGCTCTGCAACAATTCGGTACATTTTCTGCTTAAACCACATCAGTAAACTTAATAACTAGTCTTTTCAAATTGTTTGTGTATGAAAATGAAAATACTAAATAAGAAAATAAAATGCACCTCAAAACATGGAAAGGTTCAGAAAAATAAAACGATTTTATAATAATAATAATAATTAATTATTATTATTATAAATATATAAATATTAAAAAGGGAGGCAATAATAATATTTCTGTTATTACTTTTTGTACAGACGGTGTACCTACACAGCTCATTCTTAGGATTCTTTATGTGAGACACCTTTAGACTCAGTCGTATGAAATTATGTCAAAGAAAAACTAAACACAGACTATTCACAAACATATTTGAGTGAATAATTAATTTAGGATCGTAATCAAGTATATGCTCGCAGGAAGTTCTAGGGAAAAAAATCTGAAGTCACAGTATTCAGGGAAACATTTAAATATTCCCAGAGATGCAAGTGTAGAAAGCATAAAAAATGATTACAGAATAAGAATAATGAGGAGAAGAAAAAAGGTAGTAATATTTCAAGCATGAACACTAAGGTGTTGTGATTTATGGAGAATCCAAATGTGGGATTTATGTCATATTTCCCAAGAAGCAACCAACAGGAAAAACACATACTGTAAAACTAGTTTCAACACTAAAACAATACACCGTTATTGTCTTGCAGACTCCAAAACCAAAAGGGGCACAATTTTAAAAAAATGATAAGAATCTCTGAAAGAGCTATTGTATTTTAGCATTCTGAGTTATTAAAATTCAATGACACAATGATCGGAAAAAAAGGCCAAGTTCCCATTTCCTCTGACCGTGAAGGCGTACATTGGAAAAAAAGACTGACCTTGCTCTTTCTCTTCAGAAAATAGTTCTTTTAAACACTAAGAAATTTTAAAATGAGTCAGTGGTACATTTCGGAGTATTCCAACAATATATGCCCCGTATATCCGACTGGTGGCTTTAAACAAATGAAAAAAAGAATTCACATGAAGTGGTAGCTACGGTATTTGTTTATAGACCATGCAAGTAGTCAGAGTTTAATTTATTCAAACTGAAACAGTGCTCAGGTCTTCTCAAGCTTCCCCGCTTCTGTGCAGAGTTGCGGCAAGACTCCAAAGTCATCTCAAAGCAAGTTTAAGCCACAAAGTGGCTTCATGTTTCTGGGTCTTTCAACCACATGAGATCTGCCAGGTTGAGATGAAAGTAGGCTTAATTTACAGCAGCACTTAAAGCATATGGCCCTGTCTTTAATGCAGGAAAGCACTGGAAACTGACAAAAATACACATCTAATGTATTTACCTGGCTGTGACCAGTCATAGCACCACTAGGAATAGTAACTGAAAATGTGCGGGAGTTGTACTTTACCACTTCCACGGACATAAAATTGTTTTATAAATAGGATACCACGTTTAATTCAGTGCTATATACTGTACAGTACGTGAGAACTATTATACAATGATTATGTTATTAAATAAGATCTATACACAAAACCCTGAGAAAGGCAAAGCAAGAAAAAATTATCTCTTATCTCTAAGGGCTATATCTGCATTGTGGAGGTGGCACAGTGGCTCAGTGTTATTGGTAGGTTAATCGGCTTTTGGGAAAACTAACCCTGGTGTGAGTGTGTGTGTCTGCCCTGTATTCGACTAGTGGTCCTTCCAGGCTGTATCCTGCATTGTGTCCATTGCTTTCTGGGATAAGCTCTGGCTCTCCTGAGACCCTGAACTGGAAGAAATTGGACTCTGATTTGTGGTTAGAAATTGGATGGATGAATGTATGAGGTATGTGGAATGAATATAAAACATGTCATGTCACACAACATGAGCAAGTTTAGACTCTTGCCCATTAAACATCTATTCACTGATCTTAAAAAATGTGACATGTTGCAATTGATTTACTTTATTATTTTCACTCAAAAGCTTTTAAGTTTGTTTAATTTAACTTCACCTACCTCTCATTGTTCCTGTCTTTCAATTGTCTTTAAATTCAAATAACAACAGGTTTAATTAATAATGTCATCAAAGCAAAACCTACAAAAGCTTAGATTCTGTTTGTGATATATATAGCTCTACCACAGTATCTGGTACCATCTCTTCTCACAAAGTGTCTACTTCCTCAAAACCATTATTGTTTCTCTTAAAAGAACAGAAGGTTCTCTTTACAGCATAGAATTGTTAAAAACGTCTTGATCAATAATAATCACTACAAGTCTAAAATCCTTTTCTACTACATCATTCCTGATCATGCAGCATGACAAAATCCATCCACATGATTGTAAGTTGAAACACCAGAGTACGCTGGAACAGAGTACATGCGTTATTCCACTCATCGCAAATTTTCCAAATAGGTGGGGTTCCTTAAGTAATAGTATACGTAATACACCAAAGTTGATTTAAAAATAAATAATAAAAAAAAACATTTGTACGGAAAGGCAAAACTGACTAAACCAGAGCAGTAAGCGCAATGCTGAACAGAAAATCTCTTTGTCCGTGACCTAAAATCAATCATATGTATGCTAGACTCATGTGTCCGATGGTTTCTTTCACAAGATATAATTTTGGTAAGCTGTCACGAAGGCTTGCTAATGAATTTGTTTTTTTTGCTCAGTTTTTACGTTTTTTGGAGAACCATGTTAAATACAGTACAGTGTTGCAGGAGGTAACATTTTCTCTAGCTGTGCGACTTAAAAAGCTTTCTTCTAAGTACTGTATCTCCAAGGGCACCAATTCAAATAGGGCAGTGACAGAGACGTTTCTTTTCGGGGGGTTATCCAGACATTTTGTCAAAACACATCACAGTACTATATAAGCAATATCAAGCAAAGCATTATCCAGCATAACAGAACTTTCTCTAAATCAAGGTAAGAATCCACAATTGGTTTAGAGTGACAAAGATGTTGGAAATAATGATTCACAGCCAGCCAAGGGCTACTTGAGTTTTGGCCCCAAGGCCTTACTTGTGAACGACCTCAAAGATCAAGTGTCAACAAACTGAGGTTCACCAGATTTTAAGAAAACACAACACTCATCGATTTTCCTATCTTCATTTTTCAGGCTTCAATAGCAGATTGCAAATAGAAATGGGCATCTAAAAATCAAGAAAGCAAGCTATACTATTAAATTGGACAAAAAGCTATTTTCAAAGATCTTCAAAGAAATGTGTCCTGCAGCTATTTGTAAATAAAAAGGAGGAATTCAAACTGTTGCTTAGATCCAGTTTGTAGGGATGGAAGCTTTAAACCTAGTGTCATGACTGTAGGAAAAGAGAACTAATTTATTTTAAAGACACTTGTTATTAAGAAGTTCCTTTAATTTTGTATGCTTTGTTCATGTGTATACGCAAATTAATTACACAGACACGAATAAAATCGTAGGCTATTGTATAACCACCTTGCTGTGTAAAGATCATACAAATAAATCATTTGTGAGGGTTCAAGCCTGGAACTACAGAGGTGAACTCCACATGGAAAAGTTTGAAGAACAAGAAACACATTTTGGCTTTGAGCAGTTCCACTTCTGATGAAGACATTTTCATATTGGCACACATAAACTGACAGAAATAATGTGGAAAAATATCTATATCTAAAAGATTACCCCAGGAACAGTATGACAAAATGGAAAGTACCTCACTCTCCAGATAAGGCTTGTGATAGTGATAGTCACTTCCTGTATATTTGCATACATTCATTTCTGCAAGTGTCTGGTAATATTCTTACGTACCCCTTGGCATGTAGCTTATGGTGTCCACTCTGCATGTAGATGGTCACACTCTGAGACACATTCAATACCATATGATCTGTCTCTAAGCCACTCCAGTTAAAGAAGGGAACACTCACATGTACTGAATTATGCAAGTCCTATTTTCAAAGATGAATCATGAATATTTTAATGAGAAGTTGAATCAAATGAAACAAATGTGGAGTTTAGCAAAATTTGAGTTGTAAGATGGCAGTTGAAGAATAATCACAATGTTAATCACAAAAATAATTCATTATTATATTTATTAGATTGGCGATTGCATCCACAGTGTCTCAAATCCACAGTTATTTGAGTGAAGTGCCCAGCTCAACGGTACAACAGCAATCCCCTGAATCTCTACTCAACACTGCTGCCTGAAATAATTTAACTGAAACTATGCTGATATCAAATTGGTGCAAAACCTTTATTCTTTATCCAGAAGGTGAACAACCGTGAGAACAACCGTGCAGCAAGGTAACGAAAGAGGTGAACACAGTGCACGTACCTGAAGACCCACAATGTAGACTAAGGATTTGTTCGTGATGGGGACAGGTCCAAAGACCTGAGGGACCTGGACTCTTGGAATGGAGCAGTAGAAAGGCACAAATAAGGCAAACACTGGCCCCAGCCTGCAGACAAACAAAATCAAGTTCTAGTCAGGATTCCGGGTTTTCCCAAAATTATACGTTTTAGATCCTTTATTCATAATATGTGAAAGATGCACCCTTAGACTACCCAAAAGCACACCATCTCTGGAACAGAAAGTAAAAGTTCTTATAGTTTTAACAAACACATAGTGCCACTTTCCCTGATGATGCAAACACTGACCAATATATAGGGATCATTTTTACTTTTACCGCAATAATTTTATACTGTTATTCACAGAAGTTAACTTCTTTAACTCTTCCATGTTTCATGCTCACTTTAAGACTTCCACTATCTTCGCTTCCATCATTCACCTGGTACGTACTATGAATGTATGTATTCATTTCTACACTGCTTATGCATAAAATAGACAATATAGAGAGTAACGGCACCTGTATGTCAGTTCAAAAGGACTGAGAAGAACTAGACATTAAGTGGAAGAATAATACTATCAAAGGTAGTAAAAAGTCAATGTACTATATGGCGATATTCTGTAAGTGATTCTAACTGGGGAGAATAATCGATTATATGGCTGAGTGACCTGTACAGCACATGGCAATAATCAAAGTGATAATATCAAGTGTTTGATCCATTTGACTTCTGTAATATTCTGGCTAGGACAACACGAAGTGGTGGCTGATACTAACAAGAGTGACTTTAGCCACATGGAACTGTATGATATGCATACAAAATATGTATACTGTATAAGTTATGGATAGTAAAACCTTCATGAAATGTAACATAAATATCAACTCCTGAGAGATTAAGGCTCATGAGCAGACCAGACAGAGCATGAGGATCTAGGAAGGAACCCATCACTCTGTGACCCAAAGGTGTCAGGAGGAGGAAGAAACCAAGAGAGACAGAGAGAGCTCACCCTGACCAGACAGAGCAGTACATGCCTTCATCTTCTCCAATTGTTTAGGAGTGTACTAGTGTCTTTTGAAACATCTTATACATAAGTGATTTATTGTTTATTGCTGTAAATGGATAATTAGCATTATTCCAGACCCAACCCATGTATAATACATGAAGTACATTTTCTGAGAAGTTAAAGAACATGAAGATTATCCATGATGTCCTGAATTGGACATAAAACTATTGTGTTAATACAGAGGAGCTAGTTTTTCCAAAAACAATTTGCTTCCCTGAATTTATGTGGAAAGAGATCATCTAAAGAAGTTACTTAATTCTTGACTTTCTCTCTGAGCAAAAGGTAAATTAAATGTTATCTTCATGACATTCTGTGGAATGTACAGTTTTCCTGTATTCTACTCAAGGGGAAAACCATGACCATTATTTTGAAAATTTCTCTAGAATCCCAGGCTTCAGAGAGAAACAAACTCTTCCTTATTCCTTGTTCATTCTTCATCTGCTTTTAAGTAGAAACATGGATTTGTTTTCTTCCAAAATCCCCTTTAACTACATCACTGAACTATTTTAGAACACAAAACCCCAAAAAACAGTTTGAATGTGTGAAAGTGAGACTACAGCAGTATAAACGACTGTGGCCAATAGTTTCAGTAGCTGGATGCTCATCGTTGCCTGTGCAATATTTCTCTCCTACACCTGTTTCATAAAGCCGTCTGACCTAAGTTTTAGTTGATTGAGTATTTAATACATCTTGTATGTACTGGAGAGAAAAATTAACTTATCTCTACAAAGCAGATAAAACACAGAATATTTTTTAACTTATGCCACTCAAAGTTAAATTTCTTGAGCTAAAGCCAAATGGTGTCCAACTGCAATTTCTGTTACACCTTGGCTTCATCAAATTTGCACGGTTTGAAATTCAAATTACATAGCTTTTAAAAAATAGTTTTAATTATTGCTTCATCTTTACACCCTTTCCAAATTACCCTGGAAAATGAGACTGACAGCCTTGCAGTTCAAACAAAAATAAAAAAAAAACATATTGGCAAAATAAGTTCATATTCTGATCTTAAAATCCAATGAAGGATATTAATATTTTCCCTTACTTTTCACCAGGTTAAAACACTAGTAAAAAGGTAAAAATAAATGCTTCTAGGGAGAGATATTGTGACTTCCTAACAAGATAAATGACAAACAAAAAAAATATCTTTAGGGCTGGATCCACACCACAGGAAATGATATGAATTACCATGAGTTACCATGGTGACACCATAAGAAGAGGAATCACTTCTCTTTTCAAAGTCACCTCCTTCAGAAGAAACGTGCTCTGTCGCTGAGCCTTGAGAAAGCATTAACATTCTTTACTGGACTATGCAAAGGAGGACACTGATAATAAAACACAATCTCAAGTGATACTGAAGAATAACAGCCAGCTATTGTGTAAGTACTTCCAAAAACACTTACTCACCTCTTTGTATTACAGAAAATAGTGTGCTTTCAAAATACAGTGTGCTAATGAAATACAAAAGATTAACGGCAGGATTGTCTATTAGTATATATATATTGCATAACTGATCATTACTATAATCAAATCTTGCAGAACTATACTGCAAGATTGAACTCTGATAGCAAAAGCTGAATTAAAAACAGATAAACGTTATATTTGTGGAAGACAGCATTTTTCTAGTGAATTTTATTATTTGTACTATAAAGTTAAATACTCATAAAACGTGTTAAACTGCAAAAAAATGCTAATTAAGTCTAAAAGAAAACTTTGCAGAAAAGGGGAAAAATCTGTGCAGGGTGTAGATGTTTAAATGTTATGATAAATGTTTATTATGGCATCTTTGTTTTAGATTTCAGTATTTATTTAAGCCATAATGGACAACATTCCACACCTTTTTATCTGACCTCAGTAATGTCACTCTGTACAATAATTAAACTGTATAACAATTAAGTGCTTGATTAATAATGTATTTTAAGAGAAAAGGATGAGTAAAAGCTCTGCCTTGTGTTAACTGGCTAATTATTTTGCGGAATCATAAAACTGAGGCAGTGTCTGTGACTTCAGAATCTCACTTCAACTGTGAGGGTGTTGCCTGATGCAGCATCTCTCATCCACTGAACTTAGTTAGAATGTTCTCTGTACTTTGGCTTCCTTCACACATATTTCAACTTCCACTGATTTTCATCTAAACATAGAACAAACTGAACAAATCATTAAAAGCACACCAATATCACTAAAGAGATCAATTCCTTTGGGTCTGAGCCCTGTTGTAGAATTTAAGCTGAAAAAGGTTATGTCTAACAGTGTCATTCTAACTGGAAATTGTTATGGCATTATTGCTTTAATATAGCATCCGCAAAACTACTGTATGAATTTGATTTTTTAAAAATAATGTGTATTTTCATTTTCTACTTAAGGCTTATGTATTCAAAAAATTAAAATGCTACAGTTTTTAGATTTGAAAACTAAACATCATCAAAAACAACTTTCCAGTCAATATCTGTGACAGGCTTCTACAACATTTTCTAAAGCTTACAAAAGTACACTTGGTATTGCTTCAGACTCTCTCAAAATAATTATTTGTTATCAAATTGGAGAACCTTTGACGTCAGCTGCCAGAAGTCTACAGAGTGGAAATAATGCTCGTGTTAAAGCCTCCACAAACTACTCCTATCACATCACAATCAGAAAAAAACAACTTACTACTCAAAAAATGTTACTTGTTGCTATTTTTATGTTATTGGGTATCAGCCAGTTAAAGTTTTAATTTGGTTTAATTTACTTAGACATTCATAGAGCTTTAATTGGATTTATCAAATGGAAATAGAGTATAAGATGCAGTGTAGATGGCTTAAACAGGGTCAATGCCGATATCATCAAAGAGATTATTATATCAGAGTGTACATCTTTTTCCTAGTCTGCTTTTTTCTTTCATACAAATTAGGTCACCTAGACCACCAAAGGCCTGAACATCAGGACACCTACAAGTTCTATTAATATATAATCTCAAAATTCCTATTTAGAACATGCACAAAGCATGTGGTGATGGAGTCCAAATATGAAATAATTTGCTCCGTTTCATATTCTACTGAGTTTCACAGGGGAAGAACTCAGTATTACAGTGGGTATAGAGAGTCACCACCCCCCTTCAAAATGTTCACCTTTTGTTGCCTTAAAGACCAAAAAGAAGACTTTTTCCAGTTTTACTTACAAATTGTACCTTGCAACATTCAAGTGAAAAAAGAAAGCAAAATTTCTGAAACAAAAACGGGGTTGGATAAGAGAACACCCCCCTGAGTTAATACTTGGTGGAAGCACCTTTTGCTTGAATTACAGTCTTGAGTCTGTTTGGATACATCTCTACCAACTTTGCACACCTAGAGGAAAGAATATTTGCCCATTCCTCCTTACAGAATTGTTCAAGCTCAGTCAAACTGCTTGGTGACCGTTGATGGAATGCCCCCTTCAAGTCATTTCAAAGATTTTTGATGGGATTTAGGTCGGAGCTCTGACTAGGCCACTCAAGGACATTCACCTTCCTGTCCTTCAGCCACTGTATGGTTGCTTTGACGGTGTGCTTTGGGTCATTGTCATGTTGAAAGGTGAACCCCATTTTTTCCCATTTTAAACTTTCTGGCTGAGGGCTGCAGGTTTTTTTCAAGAATTCACCTGTATTTTGCACCATCCATCTTCCCTTCTATCCTGAAAAGTGCCCCAGTCCCAGCTGAAGAGAAACACCTCCACAACAGGATGCTGCCACCACCGTGCTTTACTGTAGGAGTGATGTTCTCTGGATGATAAGATGTATTGGGTTTTCGCCAGACCTACCGTTTTACATACTGGCCAAAATGTTTGATTTCAGTCTCATCTGACCACAGCACCCTTTGCCACTTGGCCACATAATCTTTAAGGTACTTTTAAGCAAAACACAAATGAGACTTGATGCAACTTTTTTTAAGAAGTGGCTTTTTTCTTGCCACCCTCCCATACAGGCCAGATTTGTGGAGCGCTTGTGATATTGTTGTCACATGCACACAATTAAAGGCCATAAAGTCCTGTAGCTCCTTTAAAGTTGCCATTGGCCTCTTGGTAGCCTCTCTGATCAGTCTCCTTGCTCCTCGATCATCCAGTTTGGAGGGCTGGCTTGATCTAGGCAAGGTCTGGGTGGTGCCATATATCTTCCACTTCTTAATGCTGGTCTTGACTGTGCTCCACGGGATACTTAAAGCCTTTGAAATCTTTTTACACCCATCCTCTGATTTGTGCCTTTCCACACCTTTATCTCGAAGTTCTTTTGAAAGAACCTTTCAGCCCATAGTGGATTCCTTGCTTTGAAATGCACTTACAAGCAGTGGAATCCTCTAGAAACAGCTGCTGTTATTCTCAACTAATCAAAATCACCACAACTGATCACAGGTGGGAGCCAATTAGTTTGTTGTGTAATCTGTAAGGTGATTGGTTATACCTAAACAAGCTTACAAATGCAATTGTAATGGGGGTGTTCACTTATCCAAATAAGGCATTTTACTGTTGTAATATTAATTAATTTTCATAATGTTTTAGAATTTTATTTTCACATGGCTAATGTGGCCTACTGTGTGTAAATAAAAATGGAACAAGCCTAATTTAATTTGTTTTTATTTTCAGTGTCATAACAAAAGGTACAATTTTTGAAAGAAGGTGGTGACTTTCTATACCCACTGTATGACCTGTTCCACTCTCAATGTGCAGCTCTGTAAAATTGCTATAGTTTGACAGAAACGTAGGACTTGTGCAGAAGAAGGAACACTTTTTTACACTGGTGTTATCAAAACTGAGTAGCACCTTTTTTTCTAAAAGAAAATAAATGGTCATTAAAGGCCTTTTCAAGGCAGCTTACTGTTATTCTGCCCTGAAGAAGACAAAAAACATGCCTACTGGCTTCATTCCAGTATGATTTACTAGTTGTTCTCGACCTTCATTCTTATATGTCAATGTGTTCCTTTAAAATTTATTTTTGGGTACAGAGGAGATTGGGTCCAACAAGGTATAGTGACATGAAAAAAGAGAGATTGTGGTATTCAACAACATAATCAGCAACAGCTCAAAATGTGTCACAGCCAAGAGTTCCAAACTGCTTGAAAAGAAGCAACTGTGGAAAGAACTGTGTAGTACTACATTTTGAAGAGGGAAAGAAAAGCTTTCTTCATTCTTTGGTCACACTGTAGCAATTAATGGAATTTTATAGGACATCCTTCGTAAGCACACACACTATAAAACATAGTCTACATGAAACCCAAAAGACCAAACAATATTCTGGTACTATCAGTATGGTAGGGGACTTCATACTGATAACCGGTTGGTGGCAAGAGTTGTAAATGTGAATCAGGGGCAGTGATGTAATAGGCAGTTCTTTCAACCCACGTTACATCACTGTGTTCATGGCTTTATTAAGAATCAACAAACATTAGATTTCAGAAATAAGAACATGTATAAGAACACAGACTCTTAAATCAATTTGTACAAGTAGGAAATCCTTTTTTTTATTTTTTAAAGATTGGTTAAACGGTAATAGCTTTAAATTGATAAAAGAGGAATTCAACTGATAAGATTTCCTTATAATAGTTGAATAATAGCAATTTGGCACTTCATTACTGACCCATCTCACAACTCTTCTTGTCCACCATCACTCATTAAAAAAAACGGAACAGAAAACATGAATTTTCCCTATTTGACATTAAGATTCTCAATTACACAACTAGGTTCTGTGGTGAATATACATGAGATATCATTTCCTTGCAAAGATATACTAATGTGGTATGCTTTGAAAACAAGAATGGAGTGGTTATTGCAAAACAAATAATGATTCATAAAGTCCAATCAATTGTTCAGTGATTTAACCTTTTCTCCTTCCTGTACTCCACCTTAAAGGATTATGTGAGTCAAGATCAATCTTATATGACATATTCTTAATATTTACAACAGGTTGTCATGGATTCTACTGATCATACACTCTTCTTATTTCATCAGAGACACTGCCAGCAGTGTTTTGACTACGATAAATAAATGTTTCCCAGGAAGGCTATGCCCTTTACTTTCTCTGCTGTCAAAATGTTTGAAATTTCCCCCCTCCTCAATGAATTTAACGAGTCATTTGCCCACTCACAAGGCATATCAGGTTGTATGATTCATTTTCTTTTTTTCTTCCGCAGGTATAAGATCCTGCAAGTGTGAAACATGGCGCAGCCCTTGAGCAGCAACGGGAGCAATGACACGTGTACAAACTTGTACGACCATAGAGACACCGCAAAGATTCTCATGCCCCTGCACTATTCCATCGTTTTCATAGTGGGACTGCTCGGCAATGCACTGGCTCTGCACGTCATCCGGCCAAACCTGAAGAAAATGAACTCTACAACCCTGTACTCCACCAACCTCGTCATCTCAGACATCCTGTTTACCTTGTCCTTACCACTGCGCATATACTACTATGCCAAGGGCTTTCACTGGTCACTGGGAGAGGGGCTATGTAAAGCCATCACTCTTATCTTTTACATCAACACCTATGCTGGGGTCAATTTCATGACCTGCCTCAGCGTTGACCGGTTCATTGCCGTAGTCCTGCCACTTCGCTACAGCCGGTTACGAAAAGTTCAAAACGTCAAATACATCTGTGTCATAGTGTGGCTGATAGTGCTGGCTCAGACACTACCCTTGCTCACGATGCCGATGACACGTAAGGAGGCAGCTGGCCACATCACCTGCATGGAATACCCAAACTTTGAAAACATTCCCAACCTGCCTTTCATGCTTATAGGCGCTGTGTTCCTCGGATACTTTATCCCTGTCGTCACAATATTGGTTTGCTATTCTGGATTATGCTGGAAACTGCATTTCGCTGCCAAGCAAAACCAATTCACAGACAAATCTGGAAGGAATAAAAAAGCCATCAGCGTCATCTTCTTTGTTATCCTGGTTTTTGTCGTTTGCTTCAGCCCCTATCACATTGATCTTCTGCAGTACATGATCCGGAAACTTATGTACACGCCAGACTGTAAAGAGCTGTACCGATTTCAGGTATCCCTGCATGCCACCGTGTGCCTGATGAATTTTAACAGTTGCATGGATCCTTTCATTTACTTCTTTGCATGCAAAGGCTATAAAAGAAAGATCATGAAGATGATGAAGCGGCAAGTCAGCGTGTCGTTCTCCAGTGTGGTCAAGACCTCTCCTGATGGCTCTTCCAGAGACGTCATTGAGGGCAACAAAGCTTCAATTCCATTAAACAGTACCAAAAACAAGCAATGAGCACACTGGTTCACCAAACAATCTTTACTTGGGAAGTACTGACTATAGAATTGGCACTGTAAGGATGTGCAGCTCAACCAATGGAAACATGCCATCCTTACACACTGCAAAACAAAATTCCATCTGACGCACAGAGGAGGAACATTGTTACTTTTCTGAAGAACACCTGTATCCTGTAACTATTCACAACTCCATAGAGTCTGTTGTTTTGCATTCATCTTAAGTATTGAAGCAGCTAGAGAATATAACTGTGCAGTTTGACCACAGAGTGTATATAAACTAACAAATGCATGGATAGGTCAAATAGATTGAAGAATCCTAACTTGTTGCCTTTACGTACACATATCAAGCTTAGCTGAGCACTGTGTAAAATAAGGGGGTGGCAACTTCCAGTTCAGTTTCCCTTGCAGTTCTAAAAGACAACAAGCTTTCTCTGACCCTTCAAACTATATCAATCAATCTAAAATGGTCTCACTATACTGTTCCCATGAACAGTTTGAGTTCTGACAAGATTAACAGAAAAGCATTTCTCAATGCAGAAGATCTGAGATAAAATCTCCCTTCTGTGTTTTTTTGTATATTTTCCCCTAGTCACTCAACAACACATGAGACTGTGTAATCCCATGCCAGTGGTGAGAGTTAAATACAACATGGCTTTTACTTAAAACTCAAATATACTGTATATACATAATGAATACTCATTATGTAAACCAAGCTAAAAGGTACAGTGTATCTCACTTTTAAAATGTTTATAGGCTTTCCAATTTATCTAAAGGTGTAACACACCATATTAAGTTATGTATGGCATTATGAAGTACTGATACCTCAATAACACATATTTCATTCTAAAATGCTTAAAAGCTTCCCAATCTATATCCCTTAAAACTCCTATAATGCTCCTTTTGTTCTCAAATCCGTTCACTTCTGAAATGTGTGTCAGTGAGGTTTCATTATAGAGAGTAGTTTTCAATAGTTGAGTAAATTGGGAAGCGAATGGTTAAGTACTGGAGGACTGTTCTCAGTCTTTAATGCATTAGCATGGAACTGCGACCACTGAAGTCTCCATTCAGGGTGTTCTCAAGAGCTAGTGCATCTTTTGAACAGTACTGAACGCAGAACAGTAAATTCTATATCCAGGAGATTTAAGTGAAAATAAAATCATCTTTGGTGCCAACACATTCATGGAACTCAAATTAGTGAAAGAAAGTGACATTTACATTCTATTCAGAGTTTAGAATACAGGAAAATTATATCAAATAGCAATTGTCCACACTAGCAGTAGGTAGGAGCTACTTTATTTTACACATAAATCTTATCCTGTAAAAAAAGAATAATTTTAAATTTAATGTGTTTTCAGTCAAGGAAGCACTGTACTGTTCTGCATTTGTATTTAATACAATGAACTAAAATACAAGTGTCAAAACTGAGATGACACATAGTATTTAGCATCACTATTTCAGGAGCCCTCTTTCTATTGCATATGTTTTTTTGTGTATATATTGTAGATATCTATGTACATATATCAATTTTGTGATTACATTTCTAGAATAATTTGATTAAATCAACATATGGAGTATTTTCTTCTTTTCTTTAGAATGTTTCTATCAAAGTGTGGTTTCATGTATTCTTACTCTTAATTCTTACTCTTAAAGGGGCAGATGGATGGTGTATGAAATTGTTCACACTTTTTTGCATTTTTGAAAGTTTGTATTACATCCTGTTTTTGGTCACCGCTAATTTACTTCCAAGAAACACTGAAAATGATAGCATGCTGAACACGTGGTACGTTATAAAAGGGTGGTGTTCAAACTAACAATTAAGGTCACAACCTCATTTACGTTAGTCAGTTGGGGCCAAACAGACTTGTTTCTCTGCTGTGTGAATCTGTAGGTGCTTGACTGGAGAAAAATGAACAGACTGCTTACAATATTTAAGTACTATATTTATTATCAATTTTATGAGTGATACAGTATATATACGTACAGTAAGTGATATACACAATAGTGATCTTTCACATCCTGCTCAGTTAGTGAAGAGGTAAAATTTCCGTGCTCTGTTTGCACATTTCACACTTTGCATGATTAAATTTTTTATTTAAATAAAGGTGGGAGTTCTCAAGAGGCCCAAAACGTAAACCTGTTCTTTAATTGAGCCCCAAAGTCCCGACGTCATCAATCCGAGTCTAGTCTATTATATTAGCAATCTGTGGCTGGGACACAGTCAGGTGTCCAAAAGCATTGGGAGGGAGCTCAAGAGTGCAGGCACGTCCTTGACGTTCAACATAACAGTGTTTCCTATTGCTGCCCAAGTTTGCAGCCTTCTCAGCTATGGCCACGTCACTGCTCCAGTTGGTGCTAACTCAACTATAAGTACTATGGGGCTCACAGTGTTGTTTATCAACAAGATTAAAAATAAGTGCTCCTAAATTGAAAAAGAGATTAAAAGTTTCAATTAAAAAAAAACATCACTACAGTACTTGAATTGGCCATTCAATTTTAATTTGGCTTTGTTTTAATTAACTGTTTATAAGACTGATACAAAGGGAATGTTTTGTCTTTGAAATATGTCTCATTTATCTTAAAATTAGATCTCAATTGATCTCAACAGCATTTTGATCTTTATTCTGAAATGAGGAAGCTAAAAGAGGAGATACATACTGTAGGTAGTCATGCATTTTAGTTTGAGTTATGATGCAATCGTCTGTCTTTTGAACATACTACAACTTGCGAAAAAGAGTTCACACCAATGAACTCTAACAAAAATGACAAAAGCATGCATCAGGTTGTCTGCATCAGACTGGTACAGATACAGTGCTTGATTAAAATAATGTGCTGTGGAACCATACGTTAATAAATAGCATAGAAATGTCTTCAAATAATCAAAGATATTTAACAGGTACAAGAAGAGAGACCTGTAGAATGCCAGAAGTAACCAATTTTGTCAAAGACGAACCTAATTTTAAAACCCAATTTTAAAAAAAGTATTTCCTCTAAGATTTTAACCTGACAAACTGGACTTCACAGATCCAATAATACCAAGAATTCCCTTTAATCTAATCAGCAAGATGGTCTAATCAACAGTGTTAAATGCAGATCTGAGGCCCAGCAGGACAAGAATAGATAAAAAGACAGTACTCATCAACAAATCACTAGTATCCCCAATAAGGGCTACTTCAGCACTATGCATCAATTTGAATTCAGACTGAAATGGCTCATTAGCAGCTAGTCTTATTGGCAGATAAGTGAGGTTGTAACTGAACAGCAACAGTTCATTGCAGAACTTAATGGTAATTTAGATTAAATTAATAAAAAACACACTAGCTATTGGCCAATAATTACAGAGCTGTCTGGAGCCTAAGTCTGGTTTATTTAGAGACAGTAACTGTACGTTTAAGAGACAAAACGTAACTTTAACACTACCCGTTGGACCTCCTTATCACTGTCCCCAATGGTGTGGTAAACGCTTCTGATATTTAAGTTAACCACACCACCACTTCTCATGGCCTTTAGGATGAATAATCAACAATAACCTTGCACAAAAACATAAAACTTTTATACTACCAATTACTGGACCAGCCAAATGGCCTCCTCTCATTTCTAACTGTTGCTCCGTGTTCTCAAAGCCTAAACAATAACTTATTTTAAATTGATTTTCTCTCAGGTTTTACTTCCATTAAAGAGGTGAATTGCTTGAAAGCAGGGTCTGCCTGGGTACAATTAAGTGGATATACAAGCTTAGCATAATGGTATGGTGTGATTTTTGTTCATTCTTCCTAGTAGAATGGGTATCCTCAAGTAGAAGTACTATCCTCAATTCTTTGGGGATCATTAATGGACTGCAACCTTCAAATCTTGCCATCAATTTTCTATTAGATTTAAAGTTCAGTCTTTGGTCTCATGCTTCTGTTCATTATGCTGCTAAATGTGAATTATGAACATACAGTAGTTTTAAATACTTGGTAGACGCAAGCAATTTTTCCTCTAGGATTTGCCAACATTTTGCATCATCCATCTACCCCTCAATCCTGACAAGTTTCCAAGTCCCAAATTGTTCAGAAATATTTCCATAGAGCATGATACTGCCACCACTATTTTTTGACAGCTGGTGACAGTGTTGCCAGATGTAAGGGTTTGCATTTAGACCAAAAGGTTCAAGTTATATCTCATCTGTCCACAAAACCTTCTGCCCCCTGTGCAGTATATTGCTTATGAGATTTAAAATGAGTCTTTTTTCAGAATTGTTTTCATTGGCACTCGGTCATACACATCAGCTTTGGTTGAGGACTGTCATATTGTTGATGTGTGAACATTGACTCCAACTGCAGACATGGAACTTTGAATATCCTTTATGATATCCTTTAGTGTGAAATTTTAAAAACAGTTTTCTGACTGGCTGTTGCTCAGTTTAGAAGGGTTACCTAATCTAGGTATGATGAATCCCCCACTTCTTAATAAAGGACAAGACTGAGCTGGGACAGTGACAAAGACAGAAATAATGTCACCAATTTTGCAAACATTCACACAATTCATCATGTATCTGAGTTACTTTTGGACTACAGAAACAATGGAAATTGAATACTTTTCCAACTGAAAATAATCTGTTTTTGTGTTCATTTTACTTATTTTACACATATATTTTTACAACAACTTGGAGTTGTCTGTGCTGATTTTACATATAATGGCCAATTTGAAAGCCTTGTGAAGTATGTTCAAGTAGCATCAAAATATGATAATGTTGCAAGTGGGTTACATCAGCAAATCACTGTACGTATCAGAAAGATGGATTTCCTAGATTAGACCCTGTTGAGGCTCTTTTGTGTAATAGGTCCAATTAATTTAATCAAATATTTTAAACACGGATAAGAAACAAAACCTCAAAAATGTAAAAAAAGATCACAGAGTCATGTAATGTTCTGAGAAATTTGAAGCAATGTCAAAATTAAATTGTTACAAAGTATCAGCCAGGCATTAGTTAATTGAGCATTGACAAAATCCTGGTTACATTGACACACAGACCTGATCAGCCTCTGGAAAAATCACTGCGGGATATTCCATCATTTTGTCCAATGCAACTATGGAATACTGGATGGTCAAGGCTTTTTCTTATTGACAGGATTGGAGTTGGATTCACTCACAGATATTCTACTGGAATTAGATTAGGAGAAATAGCTGGTCCTGTCAAAAACAATATGTTCTTCTTCACTTCAGGAATGGCTGTATGAATGTAAAGGACTGTCAAGAAGTTCATCAAAGTATTTCTAAGCGGCTGTCCTCAATTGGTAACAATTGTGTTCTCATATCATCAACCTTCTACCACTTGAGAAACAGGTTTGAATAACACAAAATTCAACAGACACACAAGTTAACTTCCATCAGGTCTGTCAAGAGCAAAATGGTATTCATTGGTGAATACACCAAAACACTGCAACCACCTTTCACTTTTCACCTCTCTCTCTGACACACATCAGAGAAGTTCTTTGGCCCTCAGAGATGGTGATTTTGTCCCTCAGCTGTCAACATTAACACTGAATGGCTTCCAAATATTTGCTAATGCGCAGGTCATTCTTCTTGGATATTTTCTTGGCCAGCAAGATTACCTTATGCCTTCCAAGAAGTGATTCATCCCTTACAGTGTCAGACTCCTGGTTTCTATGGACTAATACACCGATTGTTGAAGTAGAGCAGCATGCACTCTGGGCAGCTTCTCCTACAGACATCCCACTTTCAATCATGAGGATAGCAAACTAGCAATTCTCTTTACTCAATCAGGACATGGTCAGAATTTTCAGAATTTTAATGGGTATTTTACAATCCCTCAATCAGTTCAATTAGTTTAAGCAATTATACCTAAATAAACATTAAGTCTGGCATTTTTTATGATATCACATGACTTGAGCTCAGTATTTTGCTATCCCAAGGAACAAAACTGCTCACTATTAAGATACAAATAACATATTTGCCTAATAAGCTATTGATGTAAAAAGACTATTGTGTTTTCAATGAGCACCAGTATGTACTATAGATGATAATATATTACAAGGAATTGCTTCATCTGTTGAGGCTCATTATGTCCCTGAGCACTTGTGCTACTTTTCTCAAAATTCACAGTAATATAGAAGAACAAACTGAAAGAGCTGTTGTTGTCCCATAAAACATTTTTTATCAAGTTTAATCACATTCTTTTTTCTATATATTTTTCTGCTTCCTGTTTGGAACCACAGTTTTGCCTTTGTGATTAATACAACGTCAAAGTAAGCCTCCCCTTTAAATGCCAAACTAAAGAACTACTAACTAAGCAACCTTTAAAAAGGGAAAAAAAAACATTATATCGTATTTCCAGTCAACTACATCTTTATCATATAATTCGCATTAAAGGGTTTATTGACTCTTTTTGAGGAGGTGGGGAATTCCAAGTAACCTTTTTAAGTCTGTCATACAACCACTTTCCTAGCAGTCTTCGTGCTGCATTTATTTCATGCTCAATACCAAAAACAGGTGAAAATATTTTTTTATGGGAATAATTATATTAATGATCAGTACATTCTGAGAAAAAAAAAATTAAGTAACACTTTTCAGCAA